TCTCTCTCTCTCTCTCTCTTCGAGACAGGGTTTCTCTGTGTAGCTTTGCGCCTTTCCTGGAACTCACTTTGGAGGCGAGGCTGGCCTTTAACTCACAGAGATCCACCTGCCTCTGCCTCCCGAGTGCTGAGATTAAAGGCATGTGTCACCACAACCACCCGACCTTACATTGTTATCTTAAAAGCAGGTTAAACAAACAGGCTGAGCACACAGTAGGACAGCAGTCTTAAGTCTTGACCGACCTCAAGGTGTGTTTTAACTTCAGCTGTGAGTTCCAGAAAGTGTTCCAGTCTCTTAGACCATAAGAGACATTTTTATCACAATGTATTGCCACACTATGTCCTTGGACAAGACTGACCTATCAATCAGTCTTGGAGTTTTCCCTTTGGCCAAAGCATGACTGAACTAAAGACACAGTAGCCCTGGAACTTTGCCAACACACCAAGTTTCACGTCCACACCACTCCGGACTCTTTAAGACAACCTTTGACGCCGACACCTGGCTTCCGGCAATAGGCTGCCTCCACTGTCGCCAGCGGCCCTTAGACGGCTGCCATTGGCTGTCGGGGCTTGTTTTCTCTGCCTGCCCGGCACTGTGATGGCTCTCTCCAATTCTAATCCATGCTTACCTCCTTGCACAACCGGCTTTGCACAATCTGTTTGGACAGGATTTTCTGGCTTTGGCTCTCAGCACCTTCTCTTGACACGATTTGACAAGAACCCTTTGTCCCAGATCTCCGGACTCATTTACAACAGACTTAACCATTCACCTTTCCTACTAGCTTTCCTTTGAAACATTTCCAGAGATGACTTAGAAGTCCTGACTGTGTATCCACATTCTAAACAATGCCTCGCTCCACTTGACTGCCCTGCTGGGTTCATCGAGCTGAGAATTCCAGTTGCACCTTCTTTTATAAATTAGAAGCCTGAATTGAAATGCGGGTTCTCTCACATCAAATACGACTTATGAGAATTAAGTATGTATGCTTGCTACCCCTGTCCACACGGAGCAGGAACCAATAGTAACAGGGCATTTTGGTGCAAGCTGGATAAAGCATTTTTTGGGTGCCTTTTGTGGTTTTTGAATGCATTCTTCTAGTATTGTCAGTAAAAACAATCCTCCCACACACTCTGCTTGATGACCATATTGCTCTTTATTAAAATCACTCAGATATGTGCCAGCTACCCACCATACTTACACATCTGTAGGAAGTCCCGCCATCGTGGCCTACATGCAAAGCCCAGAAAGGAACCACTGCCTTGCTGCCTTAGTAGTCCCAAAGGAAGCTCCAGTCGAAGAAGTCCTGGAACAGAATCTTACTCTTTTGTTTTGTTTTTGTTTTTGTTTTGTTTGTTTTTGTTTTGTTTTGTTTTTTAAGACAGGGTTTCTCTGTTGTAGCTTTGCACCTTTCCTAGAACTCACTTGGTAGACCAGGCTGGCCTCAAACTCACAGAGATCCACCTGCCTCTGCCTCCCGAGTGCTGGGATTAAAGGCGTGCGCCACCCGGCCCAGA